CCCCCCCCCGAAACCAGGGGTTCCCCTGCCCCGACTGGGTGGGTGGCAATTCTCGTCAAAGTAGACAATACTGACCTTGCTGGACCGAGAGCCTGACTCGGAACAAGGCCGGAATCGTGTGGCGATCCCACCTGAGTTCAGACCTTGTCAAATGGGGCAACTTCCTTCTGGAGCAATCCTTCTTCTTGGGCGGGGGCAGATTGAAAACCCCTCCTGTGTCTCTCGTCTACTCTGCCCTCGAGTAAGGCCCATTCCTGCATGGAAACCCCACGTCGCCATGGGTCTCCCACAGTTGGCCCGTCAAGTGCCACCCCAACTGGGTGGTAAAATGGGGGAAGACGGGAGGAACCGTGTCCTTGAGCTTCTTGGAAGAAAGGCGGGATAAAAATCGAGTAAAGGAGGAACACTGTGGCAGAATGTATTTAATTTTCATTTACTCCCTATGTCTATACCCAGCCGTTCTCCTCAGTGGGAACCCGAAGCAGCTTCTGTAATTTTCTCCTCCACTGTATCCTCACAACAGCCCTGTGAGTAGAGATGTGAAGACCCGGAAAAATTCAGGGGAAAACTGGGTTTCCCCCGTTTTTTTCCTGAAGCCTTTTTTGTTTTTTTCCAAAAAATTGAAAAAAGAAAAGACAAAAAATGATTATGGAACATTTTATTTTAACATGATGAATAAAATATTTTAGGACAAGGTGTTCAAATACTTTCCAAATCATTTCTAAAAAATATGTGTGGTATCAGATTGATCTAATTTCTATGCACTGAGGACAAGCAAGTCCTAGGTTACCAACTGAACTCTCCAATGCAAGAACAAGATGCATTTCTTCCTTTAGGAGGTGCTGTTGTCACAAGAAAAGAAAAAGGTTTCAGTTTTGTTTTTGCATGTGGGTGGGTATTCTGTTTGTAATAATTGTTTGGATACACTATATTTTTAATATGCTAGTTGTGATAATTTCATGCCAAGTAAAATTGTCCATAACCATATTTTATGTTCCTGAAGTAACAGAATGACTTTCAATCTGGAAAAGAAAAAAGAAGTGCTAATGTAGCATGTTTTTCAATTTTTCCGAAAATTTCCATTTTTTCCCTGAGCTTCAAAATTTCTGGAAATTTTACATCTCTACCTGTGAGGTGGGTTAGGCGGAGAGAGTATGACTGGCCCAAAGTCACCCGGCCGGCTTCCAAGGCAGAGCAGGGATTTGCACCCACAGAGAGAGGGGAAGAAAAACTAAACTGCAAAGACCTCCAAAACAAGTTTAGAAAACTAGTAAAGGGCCCAAAGTTAAAAACATCAATAGGTATAGGCAAAAGTCCACGTTTTTATTTCAGAAACATATAAAAACCTTGTAGGGGCCCAAACAGAGCCTCATAAAATAATCAAAGTGACACAAATGCACACACAAAAAAGAACCATATATGACCTGACATGTTTCGGATGACGACAGCCTTCTTCAGAGGTCAAATAGTACAGAATACAACATGCAACAATGCCTTTGTTACCCTTGTAAGGCAGTAAACAATTGCTCTAGGGCCAAAAATGGAATGTTCCGATTGCAAATTGAATGACACACACAAAATTCTTTCTTTGTGGGGCCACAAATGCACCTGACCTTGTGTCAGAAGCAATTACATATATTGGAAGTAGTAACAGTGCCAATATGTATCTTCCAGTTTAAGTTCTAAGAGTACAAGTGAAACTGCCTTATCTTAGTCTCCGATCTTAGTCCGACCTGCTAACCACTCCACCACACTGGCTCTCTCATAATACGGATGCTAAGTGTCTCAAGTGCGGGTCTGTCTGTTGGATCAGGAGTGGCTACTTCCTTTATTTGTGACAATTCCCCCGTGCCGCTGAGCATGGAATTATGTTCGGGCTCTCTGCACAAAGTCGTGGTTTGCAGAGATTTCCTGCTTGCCCTGCTAGGGCTGGAACCCCTGGGAGGTTCTCTTGATGTCACAACGCCAGGGTTCTAGAAGGCGGCCTGCTTCGGCCAGGAGCTGCGGAAAGACCCTGGTGCGGGATCCCCCTCCTGTTGGAAAGGGGTGGGGAGGAAACCCCCTTTTCCCATCCCCGGTGCCTTCACAGAACAGGAGGAGCGCATTGTGTCAACGGCACTGGTTTCCTCCCCCACCCGGACACGCAAGATCCTCCCTTGAAACGGAATGAAGTCCACGCTTAAGCAGAGCCTCTTGCATTGATGGTAACTGCATACTAGGGCCTTGTGGGGGAAAGCCGGCCTGTATGAGACCCGTGAACCTCTCCGAAGCACCCAGCCAGCGGGCTTTGCTTGCAAAGGGCTAGCCGGTGTTGTGCCTCGACTCTCTCGCCTTGCAAAGGGATGGCAACATCTGTCTCTTTTCTGTCGGGGTTGGAATCTCGGGGTACCCTCAATCCAAAGAGTGGGCAGGAGGTGGATGGTTGAAGGGGGGGGGGAAGCTACTCTGAGGGGATTCTTGCTTTTGCCTCCAGCCCAACAGTTCCGATAGGTTTTTCTTTTACCCATGGCTATTGGACTGGAGGCAAAACACACCCTTCTGGCAATACTTAAAAGGACTCTGTTGACTCACCGATCATTTCCAGGCACGTGCTGGTTTTGCGCCATAAAATAGTCAGGGCCCAGAATCGTATGAATAAAATCTCTGAGGTTCATCTCCAGGGACCTGTCCGTGGGTGACGGAGGGTGACGGAGGGTGGTGTGAGACCCTAGACAGGAGCTTCTTGGAGGGGCGGCCCCGTAGGGCTTTCAAAGCAAGAGATGAACAGAAGGGGTTTGCCATGGCCTAACTCCGCATAGTGGTCTCCCATTCCAGTTCTAACCAGGGCCAACCCTGCTTAGCTTCTGAGATCTGATAAGATAAGGCTAGGCTGGGCCATCCAGGGCAGGGGCACCTGAAATAGCCACCCGCTTTTGCCCAGCACTTTGTAGGTAATAGATTCCTGAGTGAGCCGCCTTCAGACTACTACTGGGGAAGTTTTAACTGCTAGTGTCCTCCTCTGGGGTGTTCCTGTGTGTGTCTCAAATTCACTCTCAGTTGCTGGATTGCCATTAGAGTGCATCTTTTATAGTAGTGCAGTTATGGGGTGGATCTGATCTGCTGCACTGGCTGCATGCTCATTGGATTTTTAAGATCTCCGTTCCAGAACTAGGACTGGTATTCTGATTGCTTGGAGAACTTTGGGAAACATTTAAACTTGCTGTCGCCTCTGTGGAAATTAAGCCCTTTTCTGCCCTGTGCCCACATTGTCAAAATCCACAGTTCCCAAGTGGTTGACTGGACAGCTTTTGCCAGAAGGAGAAAAGCATCCATCATGTCTGTGGACAGAGCAAGGCTCCAGCAGCAGAAGCATGCTGGGCCCATAACCTGTTGAGCAGTTCTTTAAAATGCAGAGAAAGGAAAAAAGGAGCCACGGTTTCCTTTTCTTTTTCCTTCCCATCTGTGTGCATTTGGCTTAAAAGCTGCTGGGGGCTCAGGTGCCAGGGCAAAGGCTGTCTGCACAAGTTCAGAGGGTCTGAAAGAGGTAGAGTCATGAATGGGAGTGGCACAGAAGGGGAGGGGCCATATGGCAACCTAGAAGGGAGGACAAGCAGGGGAAATGGGCTCGGGGCCACTGCATCAGAATCAGGGGTCATTTCATAGAAAAAGAGGTACAGGAGCTCATTAGCATAACTTATTTGCATGTGTCACACCCCCTGACATCACCGGAAGTGTGTCAGAAGACAACACCCACCACTCAGCCTCCACTGGACTGTTCTGGATTGCTAGCTATTGGGGGGGGGGGACGTGCAGATCTGTCCTCACAGAGGAGGGAGAGCTTGTACCCCCAGTCGTTTGGCTCCAGATGTGGCTCAGTCTCTAGACGGCAATTGGGATTCACCTGGAAGGAAATCTTTAGGGCTGAGCAGAGCAGAAACTTGAAGGGTCTTTTGGGAGTTTGGCTTCTTGTATCCAGTGCGGACCCTGCCCCTTATGCTGTACCTGCTGTCTTGCCTACTCCAGTCAAAACCTGTTGGTCACACAGGCAAGAGTTTCCCTGCCTGGGAGTGGGTGGTGGGACTTCTAGTAAAGTTGCTTGGCCCTTGTTTTGCCTGTTATCTGGGGCCAGCCCTAGCAGCGTGGCTGATCCGAAGGCTTTTCCTTCTCTCTCCCCCCCCTCCCCAGTGGGCACTAGGGTTGCCAACCCCCAGGTTGGGGCTGGAGATCTCCTGGGGTGACAGCTGATCTCCAGGAGACGGGAATCCGTTCACTGCTGGAAAATGGCCACTTTGGAAGGTGGACTCTGTGGCATTCTACCCCCTCAAAATCCCTCCCCTTTCCCAAGCCCCGCCCTCCACAGGCTCCACCCCCAAAATCTCCAGGTATTTTCCAACCCAGAGCTGGCAGTCTTAATGGGAACCCAAGGTGACTTGCGTCATTCTCCTCTCCTCCATTCTTATCCTCACAACAACCCTGTGAGGTAGGTTAGGCTGAGAGCTGTGACTGCTCAGTGAGCTTCCATGGTGCGGTGGGGATTTGGACCCGGTTCTCCCGGACTCTAACCACTGCAACATGCTGGCTGTTAACGCTGGGGTCAAGGAATTACAGAGAGCCAAGGGGTATCTCAGCCTCTTGTAGCACTGTGCCCTTCAATCCATTGTACCATTGTGGGATCCCAGAGCATACAGAAATGCATCCCACATAAAAGCTGTGTGTGTATATATAAAAGCTGTGTGTGTGTATATTCTGTGCTTCCCTCTCTAAATTGGGCTGTAGAGGATCAGAGACTGGTGTTTTCTTTCAGCAGGGTCAACAGCATTAATTGGAGTCCATTGCATTTGATGGTAATCCTGTCCCCCCCCCCCATTTTAAGAGAAGAGATTAAAACCAGCTGCAGCCCTATGGAACTACAGGTGGGAGGGTAGCCCTGTGACGGAATGAGGAACCCATTTAATCCACTTCAGGCCAAATCCACGCAGAGCTGAAAGACCTGATTGTTGTTGTTGTTGGTGTCTTGGCAGTGTCAAAAACCATCTTCCCAAGGCAGCAAAAGAAACAAAGGAGTCCGAAGCAGAGATGTTCCGATCCAAAGGTAGGCAAAACACCCGCCTCCCCCGCTTAAGGTGTTGTGTCCCGTGGGTGCTTGCGGGTCCCTGCGTTTTGGCTTTTCGTTCAGCTTTATGTCTGCTAGAATTCCATATTACGGCCTCATGGCCTGTCCCCAGGTGACAGGTAGTTCTATAGGCGGCACATGCCTGAGTGTGGTTCCTTTTGGAGGCAAGAGAGCTAGAGAACGTTGCGTGCGCGATAACACTTGCTTGGCTTGCCAACAGACACGTGGAAAGAGTCCTGCAGGGCAGCGGTCGTGCTACCCCACATCAGATCTGACATGCTTTGTCTTTGGCCCGGTGTGTCGCTCTCTGCCCCTCTCTTTGGGGAGAAAGGCACACTTCCTCCAGAGGGGGGGGGGCTCTCCTTTCGAGTCCCCGCTCCAAGTATCAGGCTGCTGCTCCGGTCTTTTTGCAAATGGCTTTAAAGGGGGGACTCCATCTCTCTCCATGGCTTAGATATGTAGAGGAGAAACTCTCTACAATGGGAATATCCCCGGATTATTTAGCCCCCTTTTCAGATAAACAAGCCTGTGCTATCATTAAACAAAGATCTCTCGACATCGAAAGGCAAGAACTTAGGGAATGCGCAGCCAGCCGATGCTCCCCAAGCAGGTTGGGGACTTTTGACACGGGCTCTACTGCGAAGTATCTGTCAAGTTTAACAGCCCCACATCATCGCAAAGCATACGTGCTTGCACGCTTTCATGTTCTGCCATCAGAGCTGCTTTTAGGGAGGCACCGCCAGACACCATATGTAGACAGACTTTGTCCTTACGGCTCTCCAAAAGATATAGAATCCACTACACACACCATACTTCACTGTCCCCTCTATAGGGATATCCGATCTCATTTGATTACTCCACTTCTAGAGGGTAGGAGCTGGCACTCTGATGACTCAGTTGTTCACTTTCTTCTGTTTCATTCTAATTGCAAAATAATGGAGGCTGTTGCAGAATTTTTATATTATGCAATCAGAAGACGAGGCTTGAACAGCCAAGTGTAAGTGACTGATGCATCTTAGTATTTTCCCGTATTTCCATGATGTCTTGTGCTTTCATGCCAATAACGGTGTTTTGTGTGTGTGTGTGTGTTAAAGGGGGGACTCGGAACAATGCGAGGTGGGTCGGCTGTTGCCTGCTGTTAGCTGGCTAATTGGAGCCTCCATGTGTAGGAGCAGTCATCCTCTGAATATAGGGCCATGGGGAGGGTGTTTTCCTCCCTGCCCTAATCGCAGGGCTTCCGAGAGGCATTTTGCCAGTGTGAGAAACAGGATGCTGGACTAGATGAATCCCAGTTTGATCTAGCAGAGCTCGTGTTATCACCCGAGGACCCAAACCCGTTGCTTGGTTTTTCCCGGTGTTCTTCCGTGGAGACGCGGGTCATGGACAAAGTTCTTGTCTCCTGTGTTTTGTCTTTGCAACGACCCTCTGAGGGAGGACAGGCTGCAAGAGTGACTGGCTGAAGGGACCTGCCAAGCCCTGTGCCCAAGTGGGGGCTTGAACTCTGGGTCTCCCAGAGGCCACGTCCCACTCTAGACCATCCTGGCTTCTCCACCAGTGTTCCTTGAGGCATCTGGTGTCTGCCTCAGTGGTTGCAGAACAGCACGCAATGAGACCTTTTTCAACCCTAGAACAGTGTTCCCTCTAAGCTGAGTTAGTGTGAGCTAGCTCACAGTTTTTTAGCCTCCAGCTCACACAGTTTTTTCTTAGCTCAGGAAGGATGGGGCTCCAGAGCAGACTAATTTATGCAGCAGCCAAATCGTCTCACTCACATCTTAAATGCCAGGAGTTCACAAAGCAGAATTTTTTGCTTACAAAAGACTCCACAGCTTAGATCTGATTCTAGGCATTGCCCTAGAATAATATCGAGGAGTGATGAAAACCCTGCAGTGATTTCAAATGGGGGAATTAATCATTGCCCAAGAATCTTTTTTTTTTTTAAAGGTAGGTTAGAATTACCCCTGTTTTACAGACGGAGGAGGTGAGGCTCCTAATGAGACTGTGGCGGAGGCAAGGTTTGAACTGGGGGCCCTCCCGGTCTCAGGGTATTCTTGACGCCCTCTCCCAGCATAGAGGCCCAGCACTAAAGGCGCATTCTCTCCCCCCTCCCGTGGCTCCCCAGCCCCTCCTCCCATAGGGCTCTGGACCACCAAGCAGGACGGGGAAGTCAAGCTGAGGATGGACGAGAGCGGCATCGGCTGCGAGCCCCCGGTCAGGGTCCACGAGCTGCTCCTCGAGGCCGTCCGGAAATACGGGGACTTGGACGCGCTGGCCACCAAGAAGGGGGGGACGTGGACCAAGCTGACTTACAAGGAGTACTACACGCAGTGTCGGCAGGCGGCCAAAAGCTTCCTCAAGGTGCGCAGGTGCCGTGGGAGGGAGGGAGGGGTCTTGGCTTGGTTGGGGGGGGATGCACACACGCTTTCCACGCTGGGGTGGGGGCTGCTGCTGCTTTGTCCATCGGGTAGGAGAGGCCCTAGAGAGAAAAGAGAAGGTGTTCGTTTTGCTTGCTTCATCCATACCTTGCCTTTCTCCCCAGTGGGAGCCCAAAGTGCCTGATAATGTTTACAGGAAGTGGTGGCGGCTACAAGCATGGACGGCTTCAAAAGGGAATTAGATAAGCATATGGAGCAGAGGTCCATCAATGGCTATTAGCCACAAGGTATAGATAGGGACTCTCAGTCTGGGGCAAGGGATGCTCTGTATTCTTGGTGCTGGGGGGGGGGCAACAGTGGGGAGGCTTCTAATGTCTGGCCCCACTGGTGGACCTCCTGATGGCACCTGGTATTTCTGGCCGCTGTGTGACACAGAGTGTTGGACTGGATGGGCCTTTGGCCTGATCCAACATTGGCGTCTCTTATGTTCTTATGTTCTCCTCCCCTCTGTTTTATCTTCACAACAACCCTGTGAGGTAGGTGAGGCTGAGAGTGTGTGGCCGCCCTGCAAGCTGTCACGGCAGAGCTGGGATCTGAACCTGGGTCTCCCAGTCCAACGTTCTAACCGCTACACCACACTGGGCACCTACCCGCTTGTGAGATGAACCATTTGATGAACCAATGACATTCCTCTCCGGGGGGGGGGGGGGGGTGTTACAAAGAATACAGAGCGATGTTGAGGATTCCTGCCTTACCCCTGCCTGTAGATATTTGTGGGATCTGAACTGAGGGATAGGGTTGCCAGTTGCCCATTGGGGGCAGGGGATTCCATCTTTGCAGGCTCCTGCCTGCCGCCGGATAGCTTAGAGGGAGCATTGGGAGTGACACTCTGACTTTTGGGCAAAATTCTATGATTTGATGCCGATTTTACCATAGAGTTTTGCCCCAAAACCAGAGCATCTCCCATGATGTCACTGACGTGCCAGCGTCACTGTTTGGGGGGAACGTCACTTCCCACTCCCGGAACGTTGCCCTCCCCAGTCCCCATGCCGGCAAGCGAAACGGACCTGGCAACCCTAACAGTGTGTGTGTGTGTGTGTGTGTGTCCAGATCGCTTGCTCATCCTTGACTCAGCCCTTAGCATGCCATTGTGCATGAACGGTGCTTCTCCTGGGCAGCTTCCTGGTAGATTGTGCCTAGGGTTGCCAGTCTCCAGGTGGTCAAACAACAAATACACTGCAAAAACCTTTTTTATAAGTTAAAGTGTTCTATATGTTCCATCTTATAAAGTGCATTGTGTATTATTCATAATATTCTAAAACAGGTATATAGTCATTACATGCAATATCAACAATAATAATAATTGTACAGTCTAATAACTACCAGTCAATTTACGTCCTTTTTACACAATCAACCCCAATGGGAGTTTCTAGAATTGTACACCCGCTTCTCCTTGCTTGAAAGTCTTCTAAAGGGGGAAGTTTCCTTTTGTGGTTACATTGAAGTTTAAATTGATGTTTGTTGCTGGTCCTACAAAAAGCCCATTAAGCAGCTGACATTCATAGATGGAGCGCCTTGAGAAAGACAGGAGCGTTCTGTCTATAAATCCAATTGTTCTTCTTAAGAGTGGGGGACTCTTAGAGAACCGGGTTTGATTCCCCATTCCTCCACATGCAGCTGCTGGTGTGACTTTGGGTCAGTCACAAGTTCTCTCAGAGCTGTTCTCTCTGGTGCAGTCCTTGAAAGAGCTCTCTCAGCCCCACCTACCTCACAGGGTGTTTGTTGGGGGGGGAGGGGAAGGAGATTGTAAGCTGCTCTGTGACTCCTTTGGGTAGTGTAGGGCGGGGTATAAATCCAATCTCTTCCTCTTCATTTTCTTCTTCATATAATAATTATTATTGATTATTATTCTTGTAACATTACACAAATGGACCAGAATGAGGCCTCTGCACTATATGGACGGCTCTTTCTCCCATTGCCTCCCCCAGCAGCACCTTTATATTTTTCAGACAAAATGCTGCAATACTGGAAGCATGTTAAGGGGATTAAACCAATTTGCACGGATAATCCCGGGTGTGGTCTAAACCGTGGGGCAGAACGAGGCCCCGGTTGGTTGTACGGAGCTTCCCATTTCAGGCTGCAGGTGGGGAGAGGTTCGCGTTCTTGGCTTCTGTGCTTCTGCCATGCCTGGGTGTCAGATCCAGGAGGGAGAGAGGCCGCTCCGGCTTTCCCGGCCTTTCCTGCCCTCAGCTGGCGAAAGTGTGTACACAGACGGAGCCCCCGTGCACACACACTCTGAGTTGTGTGTGGCTCCTTGTCCAGTTGGGAGTTTGACTAGCGGGAGTGGCCAGACACGGCCGTGCTCCCTCGGTCACACAAATAGGCACACAAGGTCAGGCCCTAGTTACGGGCGGTGGGTCCCCTGAACGATCAGAGGCAGTCAGGTCCCAGAGGGAAATGAGCCGTGCTTGGGTGCGGAGGGGAAAGAGAGTTATTAACTTGTTTCTTTTATGCCCCAAGTTTCTGCCCAGTGGGGTCCCAAGCAATGCTCCCTCTAAGCTGTGGAGTCCTGTGAACAAAAATTCTGCTTCGTGAGCTCCTGGCATTAAAGTCGTGAGCGAGCGATCTGGCTACTGCCCAATTTAGTTCGCTCTGGACTCCTGGAGCCATCCTTCCTGAGCGAAGACTCAGCCAGAGGCTAAAAAACTGTGAGCTAGCTCACACTAACTCAGCTCAGAGGGAACACTGGTCCCAAAGTGGCTTACCCGATTCTCTTCTCCTCCATTAATTCTCTTCTCCATTTTATCCTCCCAACAACCCTGAGGTTAGGCTGAGAACGTGGGACTGGCCCAGGAGAGCCAGTTTGGTGTCGTGGTTAGGACCGCGGACTCTGATCTGGGAGAACCGGGTTGGATCCCCCACTCCTCCACACCAGCTGCTGGTGTGACCTTGGGTCAGTCACAAGTTCTCTCAGAGCTGTTCTCACAGGAGCTGTCCTTGAAAGAGCTCTCTCAGCCCCACCTACCTCACGGGGTGTCTGCTGTGGGGAGGGGAAGGGAATTGTAAGCCACTGAGACTCCTTAGGGTAGTGAAGGGCGGGGTATAAATCCAATCTCCTCCTCCTCCTCCTCCTCCTCCTCTTCTTAAGATTCCTGTAAGGCAGCTTCATGTGGAAATGACCAAAGGCGATTTTGCTGCTGTACAGTTGGGTAGGAGAACTTTGCCCCAAATGCAGAAGGGAATCTTAATGTGGGGAATGGTAAGTGTTCCGCAGTAGACATGTTTAAACAACACAGATTGGGGGTCGGGGCAGTGTTAGCCAAATTGCCTTAATTTCTTAATTAATATGGGGGAAGTTATTATTAATTGGCAATAGGCAAATTAGGGAGCAAACACCGTTGTATACAGAGGTCCCGCTTTTTACTGCAGCTACCAGTAAGAGACACGGAGACTGGATTCAATATAAAATTGTTATCTTTTACTGAAGGATATTTATCATTCAAACAATACACAAACACACACACTCTTATACAGTTACTAGGAAATAAAGATAGATAATAAGCACATTCGTATTAGTGGGATATTCGTTGTTTGGGCAATAGTTACCTGTCCTTGCTGATTGAGTTGTTCCAATGGAAGAGGGGGGGGGGTGAGAATCAGATATAAGGAACGTGTTCTGAATCGGCAGAAACACGTGGGACTCTGGCTGCAGACCAAAAGTCAAAGATGGAGGGAGGGTATTGGGATAGCAAGCTGGACGTAAGGGGGATAAAGCTTAGATAGGGGTCGTAGTAGAGAGAGAGAGACCATGTGGTCTTGTATCACCTTTTATAAGGCGGCGTGGGGGGGGGCAGGCTGGATTGGCCACATTCCCTTGTCACACCTCCTGTTAGTCCGTCCCATAAAACATACTATTGGGTAGAAGGAAAGGGGGAGGAGAGCTAGGGGGTGGTCAATATTGAGAGCTAGTAACTTGGACTGGAGAGTGGCACCTGGATGAAGAGGAAATAAGTCATCGGGCCAGGGCTATTGGCCCTGGCCGGGTCGTTGATTAGTTGCCAAGCAACCGTGTGTAGAGCCTATTGGTTACATACAGTTTTGCAGGTAGATGGAGGAGGGGGAAGGGGGTTGCCTGCGTGTGTCAGAAGAAACTTCTTATGGCGGTTGGAGCTCTTTGTCCTTGTAGCCTTGGCATGGCATGGCGTTATGCAGGCTAGGGAACTGGTCCGTCTCAGAACAGGTAAGTGGGCAAGGTAACCTGAAGAACCACTGGAACAGCAACGCAAAGGAAGGTTTTCTTCTCTCAGGTGTGCAGTCTCAACTGGCATCATATTGGGTCACCGTGCAGTACAGTCCCTCATGCATATCTTTGCACAGTCCATTTTTATCACTTATGAGTTATAATCCATAAGAGCACATTAAGTGCCTTGCAGGGCAACAGCAGTTGGGTTGGGTTGGCTGCCAGTTGAGTAAAACTGTCCTGGCCCTGGAGGCTTCTGGGAGCCCGGCGATACCTGACTCGTTCCTTGACCCTCTTTCCGCAGCTGGGCTTGGAGCGCTTCCACGGCGTGTGCATTCTGGGATTCAATTCCATCGAGTGGTTCCTGGCAGACATCGGAGCTATTCTGGCTGGGTACGTGAGTTGTTCACCTTCTGCAGGAAACTGTGGCTGTGTACCACTCTTGGCTTCTGAAAGCAGGAGGAGGGACTGAAGTGCCATCAAACTGCAGCTGACTTATATCGACTCCCTGGTGGGGTTTCCAAGGCATGAGACGCTCAGAGGTGGTTTTCCATCGCCTGCCTCTGCGTAGCGACCCTGGACTTCCTTGGTGGTCTCCCATCCGAGTCCTCACCAGGGCCGACCCAGCTCAGCTTCTGAGATCTGATAAGATCAGGCTAGGCCGGGTCTCCTCAAGGTCCATTTTGCTGATTTTATTCTTAATTTTATGCATTTATGGCCCACCGTCGAGCAGTCCATGCCTGAACCCTGTGGGTCCGCAGCGCAATTGTACACAAGTAACCAGACCGTCATTTAATTTTAGAAGAAAAGTTTTATGACGTTTATTTCAGTTTCTGTCAACAGAAGAATTTATTCTATAGCCAACACATACTCCAAAATCATGCAACAAGGAAACAAGAAAGCTAGCTCTCAAGTGTCTTAACACTTCTTGGGGTTTGTGTTAGGCGGCACCAACCTTAAAGTGAAGAGTCAGAGGGCAAAGTGGAAGCGTTCTCTGTGTTAGAACAAATTTAGAGTCCAGGGGCACCTTTAAGACCAACACAGGTTTATTGTGTGCAAAGTTCATACCTCGAATAAACCTTTGTTGGTCTGAAAGGTGCCCCTGGACTCTAAATTTGTTCTACTACTTGTGACCGCCACGGCTGCCCACCTGGGGCGTTCTCTACAGGGCTAGCAATTGCAGTTCGAGCAGGTCATATCTCAGGCCTTTAGTCGGTCAGGATCCCAGCTAGCTTCTCCTCTTTCAGGGCTTTAGCTCAGTTATAGTTTTTGGCCCAGCAACCTCAGGTGAGGATAACATCCAATCACAACACATTCTCAGGAGAAGCCTCTAGAAAATTACCTCATGACCCCTGACTCTCCTACCCCCCTCCACATCCTACTGGCCAAGCTCCGGCAGTAAAGAGCCCAGGGGGCGGGCACATGCAACAAGCCCCACCCCGTGCTCCCAGCAGCCCTCCGTCAGAGCAAGAAGCAGCCAGGTAAGCTGCAGAGCCCCCCGCCCCCCCCCGGGCCCTCGGTCCAAAACAGTCCAGTGGCACCTTTAAGACCCAAGTTTTATTCAGGTACAAGCTCTCCCTCCTCTGCGAGGGCAGATCTGCACGTCCCCCCCCCCCAATAGCTAGCAGTCCAAAACAGTCCAGTGGAGCCTTCTGACACACTTCCGGTGATGTCAGGGGGTGTGGCATATGCAAATAAGCTATGCTAATGAGCTCCTGCACCTCTTTTTCTACTAAATGATCCCTGAGGCCAAGAGACCAATTAGTAACTCCTCCAAGATGGGCAATACCTGTTTCTTGTCACTTTAACCCTTGAGGGGGGAGGCCAGAGGTGCTTTGCCGCACACCCACCTTTCTTCCCTCTGGGGACTCAGGAGCATACGTTGTTCTCCTCTTCTCCATTTTGTCCTCACAAAAGCCCTGTTAAGGAAGATTAAGGCTGAGGGCGTGTGACTAACCGAAGGTCACCAGTGTGCTGCCACAGCAGGGTGGGGGTCTGACCCTGAGTCTTCAGGTCCTGGTCTGACACTCTTCTTAACCACCGCTAGCAGGGGTACATGCTCTCTTCAGAGGAGGCTGGGAGGGGTTTCTTGGTGGACTGAGAACCGCCTGGCAAGCTCCTCCTTGTATTTCTGCATTGAGTCTGAGTCCACCTGCAAGGGCAGGGACCTCCGCTGTGTCTCTGCGCGTTTGGGCGCTGTCTGAGGAAACCAGCTGCAATCAAGAGATGTAAACATAGACAGAAAGTCGCATCCACAAAGACAATGAGAATACACACAAGGAAGCTGCGAAAGTAAGCGCTATATAATGTAACAAAATATTGAATATACAATATACAACCTCTTTCCAATCAATATTCCACAATACACGTTATATTCATTAGTGGATATGCCCATTTGAAGGATCTCTCTTTAGACCATGGATCTGGATACTGCCGTGATGGAGTGATTATTATCATTGATATCAAGATTTACATCATGCTCATGCTTGATGCTTTTCAAGAATGTTGACACTGTTCAGAGGAAGTCTCTTCGAAACGGAACTTGACTCCGGAGATTTTTGTCAACAAACAACCATTTTTTTCTACAAACTATTTTCTTACTACCATTTTTCTACTTGCTTGTTATACCCATTCCTTACTTGTTAAACGTGTTATACTGTATATTATACAACATTTGCTTATCAAATATGTTGTGTTATTGTGGAATATTGATTGGAAAGATGTTGTATGTTATATATTCAATATTTTGTTAGATTATATAGCGCTTACTTTTGCAGCTTCCTTGCGTGTATTCTCATTGCAATCAAGAGATGTGGCAGAACTTTTGGCCAGAGCTGTGTCGGGCGCAAGGACTTTGCAAGGCTAGAGATCTTTCGTCCAGTTGTTGCCTCAGGGGACCGGTTTCCACCACTGCCAGCTGGAAATAGCCCTGGAATCTCCTACCCAAGAAGAATGTTTGCGAGGGTGCCGACAGTCTCCTTGTTTGCCTGGCACTCTGCTTCCGATTCTGCACTCTGTTAATGGGGAAGTTTTTAACGGCCAGCGAGACGGCTCGTGAACACCAAATGAATAGGGAGCCCCAGGGAGGGGGTGTTGCTCAGTGGTGGTGTCTCCCCTTGGCAGGCAGAAGGGCCCAGGTACAATCCCTGGTAGAGATGCCAACCTCCAGGTGGTGGCTGGAGATTTCCTGGGATTGCAGCTGATCTCCAGGTGACAGAGATCAAGTAATCTGGAGAAAATGGCCACTTTAGAAGGGGGACTCCACAGCAGTATTCCCTACTGAAGTCTCTCCCGTCCCCAAACCCCATTCTCCTCAGGCTCCACCCCCAAACTCTCCAGGTATTTCCCAACCTGGAGCTCACAACCCCTAATCCCTGTCATCTCCAGTTGAAAATATCAGGCAGTAGATGGTGAGAAAGACCTCCGCCTGCGACCCCAGAGAGTCAGAGTAGACAATATTGGCCTTGACGGACCAAGGGTCTGGTTCAGGAGAAGGCGGTTTTATGTACCCCAGATAATTGGGTGTGCTTCTTCAACTGCCCCACCTGGGCTGGAGGATATATGTGTGTGTGTGTGGGGGGGGGTAAATATAGTTCTACAGATGCTCCTGGGAGCAGCTTGGCTTGACAGCTTTGCTTCTTCCTCACAGTGGCTTTGCCGTTGGGGTCTACACAACCAACTCCCCCGAGGCCTGCCAGTACGTAGCAGAAAACTGCGAGGCCAACATCATCGTGGTGGAGAACGACAAACAGCTCCAGAAGATCTTGGAGGTGAGCCCTCAATCTGGGCAGCTCAGAGCTGGACCTCGGCACAGTCTGGCTTTCCAGCGTCCTTCTTCTCCTCTTCGCCATCTCCACTACAAGAGCACATCTCCCCCCCCCTCCCGCCTGTGCCTTTAAAGTAGTTTGACTTTTCAGACCAAATAGGTTTCTGCATTTTTTGTAGTTTCTCTAAAATCCTGCTTGACTGGAAGCAACACTAGGCTATACACAGGTACCTCTGCAGGAAGCTCTGCCTCTCACAAAAGAAGTGACCAAAGTCTAATCTGGCCTCTGGTTTTCCGCAGTGGCCAATCAGATGCCCCCAGAAGTCCCTTATGGGCAGGGCATGGAGACCAAAGCCTCCTCTGTTCAAAGGTACACTGCTTCTGAACATGGAGGTTCCCTTTAGCACTATGTACACAATCTCGGCTTTTAATTTGTTGAATCCTCCTTTAACAGCCAATCAAAATTAGCTGAGGAGGTCCATAGCTCCACTAAGCTGTGTTGCCAGGCTGGTTTGAACTAGTAATTTGGAGATCTTGGTTTAGCACACCGGGCACCATAAACCATGCCTTCCTGGATTCTTCACGTTTCCAGGTTAGCCAAAATATATAGCAGAATGGAACTCGTGGCGTCTAGAACCGGGATCTGTCCAAAATCCTTTGAAATGCATGCAAGCCCCAGAATGGGTAAAAACAGCCTTCTGTATGCTGCAAACAAATACGAATGGAAAATGCTTTCCCTCTTACTGTTAGTTTGGAAGGGGGTTCCTCATCGTACAAGGGAATGGTCTACAGTGGGTGGACGGCATCGTTTCAGTACAAGGTTTGTGTGTGTGCATTAAGTGTTGTCAAGTCGCTTCCAACATAGCGATCCTATGAATGAATGACCTTCAAAATGTCCTGTCATGAATAGCCTTGCTCAGGTCTTGCAAACTGGGGGCCCTCCTCTTTTCCTGCTGCCTTCCACTTTTCTAAGCATTGTTGTCTTTTCCAGTGACTCGTGATGTGACCAACGTACGATAGCCTCAGTTTGGTCATTTTAGCTTCTAGGGGGTGTTGAGGCTTGATTTGATCTAGAATGCAATGCTGAGGCCCAGGGGTCATTTCCTGCGGGAGCACACAGGAGCGGAGCTCCGGCAGTAAGGAGCCCAGGGGGAGGGCACATGCAACAAGCCCCGCCCCTTGCTCCCAGCAGCCCTCAGTCAGGCCACGAGGAGCCAGAAGCAGCCAAGTAAGTTGCAAAGCCCCCCCCCCAATCCTGCCTTCAGGTACAAGCTCTCCCTCCTCTGTGAGGGCAGATCTGCACGCCCCCCCCCAGTAGCTAGCAATCCAAACAGTCCAGTGGAGCCTGAGCGGTGGGCTCGCAATCCAAAACTGTCCAGTGGAGCCTGAGCGGTGGGTGTTGCCTTCTGACACACTTCCGGTGATGTCAGGGGGTGTGGCATATGCAAATAAGTTATGCTAATGAGCCCCTACACCTCTTTTTCTACGAAATGACCCCTGGCTGAGAGTATATTTATAAATTTGGAAAGAATTTTTTAAAAAATCTTGCACAATATCTGTACCCTGTCATTCCCTTGGGTGCCTGCGGAACAGAATGGAGGGGAATCTGCTTCCCCTGTTGGCCATTTTTGGCCTCCTCTTTTCCAAAAGGTTCAGGGGCTTTCAGCTGAGAAGATGTGTGGGTGGGCGGGCATTGCTGTGTTTTGCATCTTTTTATGCGGCCATAATACGCACTTTGAAGAACTGGGCTTCCAGGGTGAGGATGGAAGATCTTCCCAGAAGAGAAGAGATCGATTGGGGGGGGGGCAAGGCAAGGAGTCCTGCTGACAACCATTTTGGACTTCTTCTCTCTTTCCAAATACTCTGTTGCAGGTTCAGAAAAAACTCCCTCTCCTGAAAGCGATCATCCAGTATGGTGAACCTATCAAGGAGAAACTACCAAATCTCTACAATGTGAGTGTTTCCCTTGCCTGATCAGCACTTCATACATGCTCAGAGTCTCTCCTTCCAAAGCCTACTCAGCCTTCTGAGACGCTGAGCATTTACATACTTCTCCTTTCTCCATGAGGCCTAGAAACTGCTGTATCTTTCTAGAGATCCTCAAAGCAGCACTGTCACCAGTATCTCAGTGGCTTCTCTTTGTGCGGATGAGGTGTCCAAACAGAATTGCGTTAACTCAGGGGTCCCTACCAGTGTTCCCTCTAAGGCGAGTTAGTGTGAGCTAGCTCACAGTTTTTTAGCCTCCGGCTCACACATTTGTGTCTCAGCTCAGGAAGGAGGGCTCCAGAGCAAACTCATTTATGCAGTAGCCAAATCAATCGCTCACAGCTTTAATGCCAGTCGCTCACAAAGTAGAACTTTTGCTCACAAGACTCCACAGCTTAGAGGGAACATTGGTCCCTACCTTTTATGAGCCTGCAGGCATCTTTGGAATTCTGGCACAGTGTTGTGGACGCAGCCACAAAATGGCTACTCCAGGAGGAAAAGTCAGTCACCAAATGGCTGCCGCAGCTTCCCCTCAGCCACACAGTGAAGATCTTGTGCTGCGGTGCCAAGCAGTGTTCCCTCTAAGCTGAGTTAGTGTGAGCTAGCTCACAGTTCTTTAGCCTCCGGCTCACACATTTTTGTCTCCGCTCAGGAAGGAGGGCTCCAGAGCAAACAAATTTATGCAGTAGCTGAATTGCTCGCTCACAACTTTAATGCTGGTAGCTCACAAAGTAGAACTTTTGCTCACAAGACTCCGCAGCTTAGAGGGAGCACTGGTGGCAGCTGCTGCCCATGCAGCTGTCATCATCCTGGGCCTAGAGTGGTGCGGCCTACAGGCTCTAGGGAGGCCTAGTGGCTCCAGGGAAGCCTGTTTTAGAGTGACCGCAGGGCCTACATTTCCCAGGTACCCTGTAGACCCTGTGACTGTCTAACAAGGAATTTGGAAGGAAAACGTAGACCAGCCGAGGAGCAGAGCGTGGTTCCTGGGAAGAAGGAATAAAAGGCCTTGCCCAGAGTGGAGTGGGGTTTTTTCCACTCCCAGGGAGCAGGGCTGGTGTGAAGCTGCTGCAGAAGGAGGAATCCCTCATCTGAAAGGGGGGGGGTCAGTCTGAGACCAGGCGCCCAGGGAAGGCTAGGACCAAATAGTCAGACGCGCTGGGGTTTCTTATTTTGCTGGTTTACCTGCCTTTACTGTGCTCATTTTTTCCTGCATGTTCCTAACTACAGTTGTTAAATCTCTTTAATAAAACTAGCTTGTTACTCTGCCTGGGTCCTCACGCCTCGTTGGGAACCCTACTGGGAAAGTACTGTAGAGAGGTGTAAGGTCTCCTGAGGAGACCCGTACCAGAGTGGTGGCAGCCACTAGAGAACCTTTCTAGCCGCTGCCTGCAACAGCAATGTTTTTAAAACTCTACCCAGCCAATTAAATCTTCAGTGGCCAATCATAAACCTTGTTTTGCAAAATCCCTACCTGACCCCACCCACTTTCTAAAAAAAACCCCAACACTTGGCAGGCACAAAGTGCCCACGGTCACCCTGCTGGGAACCCCTCGCGTAACAGAACTGTGCGGCTTTTGCCCCCCCCCCCCCCCCATACAGTGGAGTGAATTCATGACTCTTGGTGATGTTGTCCCAGATGAGCAGTTAGATAAAGTAATTGAGGCCCAGAAGGTGAACCAGTGCTGCACTCTCATCTATACCTCCGGGACGACTGGCCAGCCAAAGGGAGTGATGCTGAGCCATGACAACGTGAGTAACTGCCCATTGTACAGTCCTCCCCGGGTCGGAATCTGTTACTATGTGAGGAATTTGCCTCCAGCTGTGCGGAGGGGTTGAAATGTCCCTCCTGCCTTTCCTCCCCTCCCCCCCCAGGGCTTGGGAAATACCTGGAGGTTTTGGGGGTGGAACCTGAGAAGGGTGGGGTTTGGGAAGGGGAGAGACTTCAGTGGGGTGTAATGCCAGAGTAACCTTCCGAACCAGCCATTTCCTCTCCAGGTAAACGGATTTCTGTTGCCTGGAAATCAATGGTAGCAAACAAACAAAAACAAAGATAACAACACATGTTAAGTAAGAATCTCTCCTTATATATAATTGAGTAGTGGTCCCACAACGTTCTATGCACTCCAAAATCAGTTGGCTCTGTGATGTGTCAATCACAAGGTGTCTCTATCCACTGGCTGTGTTGCCTGAGTTCTCTCCCACCCACTGCAGCCTAGGACACTCTTCTCTGATTGGGCCAGCATTTCAAGGTCATTTGCATATGGAAGCTGACTGGACTTCACTCCATTCCACACCTCAAACTCCCTCCCCCCCACGAAACTGTTGGAATTGTCAGTTGCATATGGGACCTGCTGTATTCTGAGGTAAAATATGTCCTCACTCACAACACATCACTTCCCCTTCAAAAGAAACAAACCCAATAGCACAATCATGCCACACCACAAAAAAGACAGATCACACCACAAGCAGAATACCACAAGGCAAAAAATGATAGGAAAAGGTGCCAGCAGTCAGCCCATTACTGCCACAGATATTACTGCTACAGATACGTGGCAGTCAGGGCTTCAGAGCACGGTGGGGGCTGTTGGTGGGGGGGAGATGGAAAGCTGATCAATGAGGGGGGATGTAGGTTGATGCTTGGCTGGGAAGCAGATAGACTTGCCAACTCCAGATGGGAAAATCCTGGAGATTTGAGCGATGGAGCCTAGAGAGGGTGAGGTTTGAGGAGGAGTGGGGCCTCAGACAGGTACAGTGCCATAGACTCTGCCCTCCAAACCAGCCGTTCCGTAATGGGGAACCACTGTTGCCAATCTCCAGGTGGGGGCTGGAGACCACTCAGAATTGCAACTGCTGTCTAGATGGCATTGATCCGTTCCCCTGGAGAAAATGGTGGACTCTGTGTCCTGATAACCTGCTTAGGTTGCCATAGCAAATTGATTCTGAGTGCCCACAGCCTTGGCACTCTCCCAGAGCCTTTTTCTAGTGCCCATTGTATTTATTTCCACAATGGGCCTTATTCCTAGTCATATTATATTGTAAAACTTGGCAATATTACAGGTCCACCATTCTCAATGAGCATCCGGATATAAACTCATTTCGTCCCAATCTTCCTCAGGAGTAATTCTATAGTAATGAAGGTGTCAGCCGGTGAGAGCATTTTGCCAGCCAATTTAAAATTGGTTCTAGCTGGGGAGAGAAGAGAACTGGTTGCTACTACCATAAATGTAATACAGTTTTCATGGAGAGCTCTTAAGCCAGCCTAATACAGGAGGCTTTTGCACCTATATCAAAGACTGGCTGGCTCCTTTACAAACACTTGAACATGGAACCAGAAGATTATTTGAAAAATATAAAGGAGAAATTAAACATTGGGTTGCTCTTAAACAGAACATTGAACTGTAGCAAGAGGCTGACACCTTTGTTACTATAGGATTACTCCTGAGGAAGATTGGGACGAAATGAGTTTACATCCGGATGCTCACTGAGAATGATGGACCTGTAATATTGCCAAGTTTCACAATATAATATGATTCTTACTTAACATGTGTTGTCATCTATATCACAGTGTTTGTTTGTTTGTTGGAAATCAATTGTAACAGCGGGAGATCTCCAGCCACCACCGGGAGGTTCTACAAAAACGGAGGGTCACCGTTTTAGGAAGATGTGGGAAAGTATGACACTGTGTATAATAGTATGCTTAAGGCAGATCTATTTTGTGCTTTTTCTTTTTTCTTTTTAAAATTTTCCTATACTGTTGTATAAATCTCGGTGTCAAGTATTACCAAACATAGGTTTCACCAGAGCAATAAATCCCAGTGCAGGTTTGAGCATAGTGTAAACCTGTACTTTGATGTACTGCTTTGGTGAAACCTATGTTTGGTAATACTTGGCACCGAGATTTATATAACAGTATAGAATTTTTAAAAAAACAATAAAAAGCACAAAATCTACCTTAAGCACACATCTATTATACACAGTGTTGTGTAACTTTTCCATAACCACCTGGAAATTGGCACCCCTTTCCCACCCCTCTATCTGATTGCCAGCCAACAAGCTGGGCCAGGCTGGCATGTGATGAAAAGGCGTTGAGCCCCTTGTCTCCGATCTGGTGGTTTAAAAACCTCTGGGGGCTGGCCGGGAGGTCTGCAGGGCAGCATTTAATAGAGGCAGATACCTTCCAAATGAGAGCCTGGTCTTTTTTTAAGGTAGCAAAAGATGGGGCAGGATTGCACCTTCCCCAGAACACAAGCTTCCCCCTACATTAAGCTATCAGTCTCCTTCCTGGTATGCCAAACTGTGTATGTGCCTGGACAGAATATTTTAAAAAGTAAAATCGTTTTTGGCTCCAAATCTTTTCCCATGTTCCAGAAACTCATCCTGCGACTTCCTGGTATTCTTTGAACTGAACCACCTCTTGAACCACCTCATGCGCAGGCTTGCTCGATTCCCTTCAGAAGGTCTGGTTCTGTTCTGGCCCAGAATCATCTCGAGTAAGATTGAGAAGGGGCAGAGTGTGCCCAAAGGGGCTCCTTCCTGGGGAGTTCGCTTTTAGGACATACGCTCCTCCAGCAGCGGTCTTTGCAGATGAAAGATTGGAACTGCCTTTGAAAAGAAACTAATTACCCACCCTTTGGTTAATTAGGAAGCAATTAAGGGTTGGGAAGCCTCTTGGATTCCACTATCATGTTGAAAGGATTCTTTCCAAGTAGGAAAGGAGTAGTTGTGTGTATCGGTCTGGTTTGAATTGCGTTTGGGTCATACAAGTCGCTTCTTGTTATTTCAAGCATTTTTATGCTGCCTTTCCATCTGATTAGGGGTCCCTAAGGCAGCACACACAAAAACACTGGAACAATTAAAAACATTTAAAATTACAGATAATTCAATGAAAACGCAAACAACCGCCCAAAACCTGGGAGGAGGACCAATAACTGTTATTGGGGGTGTGCCAAATGAAGCAAAAAGTCACTCAGTCAGCCTTTAATGGCATGAAACAATACCTTAAAAGAGGATTATTATAAAATAGAAATATACATATAAACCAACCATTTTACAGACTACATAATATTGTATAATGCTGCATAAAACAGTTTGTTACAAAATGTTGCTCACTTGGGTAGTTTTTCCTGTCGTAGCTTTATAACTGATTGTAAAAACATGAATTTTGTAAAAACATGACTACCTTCACTGATATTTCTGGAACAGAGTCATTCAGAAGACGGTGCCCTTTTAAAACATCAGGAAGGTCCGTCATGGTGGCTAAGATAGGGTTTAAATATGTAAATTGTATATCTACATAAAATTGACAATGCAAACAGATATGTGAGTCTGTCTCAATACATCCAGAGTTACAATGACAAAGTCTAGCCGTGTATACTATGTTCTTATATCTCCCATGCAAGATTGCTGATGATATTGCATTGCATCTTGCAAGAGAAAAGGCTCTGTGCTGTTGTGGTACTTTTATATCAAATAAGTATGGGGCCATTTGGCCTACTGTGAGGGGAAGCAAAAAGTCTCTACCCACTGGTGGAAGACACTGTTATGGAGAGACAAACTCCCTGGGAAGGGAGTTCCAAAAACAAACGAACAATGTTTCAGTGGCAGTGAAACCCAAAGAGTGATTAACAAATGGAATTCACTGCCACAGGAAGTGGTGGCGGCTACAAGCATGGACAGCTTCAAGAGGGAATTAGATAAGCATATGGAGCAGAGGTCCATCAGGGGCTATTAGCCACAAGGTATAGATAGGAACTCTCAGTCTGGGGGCAAGGGATGCTCTGCCTTCTTGGTGCTTGGGGGGGGGGGCAACAGTGGGAGGGCTTCTAGTGTCCTGGCCCCACTGCTGGACCTCCTGATGGCACCTGGTATTTTTGGCCACTGTGTGGCACAGAGTGTTAAACTAGATGGGCCATTGGCCTGATGCAACATTGGCTTCTCTTATGTTCTTATGTTCTCTTATGTACCTTTAAGATCAACAAAGTTGAATTCTGGGTATAAGCTTTCGTGTGTATGCACACTTCTTCAGATACACACATGCATGCGCACAGAAGCTTATACCCAGAATTAAACTTAGTTGGTCTTCAAGGTGCCACTGGACTCAAACTTCGTCCTTTGCTTCAAACCAGCATGGCTCCCCGCCTGAACTTTTCGGTATGTACGTGGGGTTTCTCTTTGAGTGTTTCTGTGTCTCCTGTTCTGATATGCAGCTCCTGAAGAACCCCGATTTCTACATGAATTTTGGTTCTTCGGGTCACACCGGTCCCTGGAAGTGGGCAGGTGCAGACTGGTAAGGACAGTGAATTTCCAGAGTAACCATGTGTCTTGGCTTCTAGATAACGTGGACCGCCCAGGCAGGAGGGCAGTTTGTTGGCTTGACTTGTGGCCTGGAGAGACAGGAGCTGGTGGTCAGCTACCTGCCGCTCAGCCATATTGCCGCTCAGATGATTGACATCTGGCTGCCGTTGACCTTTGGGATGCAGACCTTCTTTGCCCAGCCGGATGCTCTAAAGGTGATGCGAGTGCCCTTTTTGGGGGGGGGGGTGTTTGGAAATGTGTTCAAATGTTGATTCTCCAGCAGCGGCAATCTTGGCTCCTTTTCTGTGTCTTGCAGGGCACCTTGGTGGAAACCTTGAAGGAGGTGAGGCCCACGGCATTCATGGGGGTCCCTCGGGTCTGGGAGAAGATGCAAGAGAAGATGAAAGCCGTTGGCGCCAAGTCGTCGGCCTTGAAGAAGAAGATTGCAACCTGGGCGAAGGCGGTTGGCCTGGAAACCAACATCAAGCGGATGAACAACGGGTAAGTAGAGGGGTCCGGGGGGGGGGTTGGTGTGCTGACCCTGCAAGGAAGGGCTGGAGAGCATGTGGGGCTGTTTAGCTGAGAAAAAGGACTACAAAAAGGGATGTGGAGAGAATACTTGAAAAGAGGCTCATAAAATCATGTGATGGAAAAAGCTGGGGGGTGGGGTGCGTTATGGGAAACTGAACGAGAACTTGGGGGCACCCGGTGAAGAAGAGGAAGAGATTGGATTTATACCCCACCCTTCACTACCCTAAGGAGTCTCCGAGCGGCTTCCCAATCTCCTTTCCCTTCCCCTCCCCACAACAGACGCCCTGTGAGGTAGGCAGGGCTGAGAGAGCGCTCTTGAGAACTGCCCTTGAGAGAACAACTCTGAGAGAACTTGTGACTGATCCAAGGTCACACCGGCAGCTGCATGTGGAGGAGTGGGGAATCAAACCCGGTTCTCACAGATTAGAGTCCACGCTCCTAACCACTACACCAAACAGATGGACAGTAAATCAGTCAGGGTTCTTTAGTACACGGCTTGTGGAACTCACTGCCTCAGGATGTAGTGATGGCTACTTGCCTCGTCCGCTATAAAAGGGGGTTTCACGCTTTTGTGGGAAGAGAGGCCCATCAATGGCGGTTGGCCATTTCAGCTAAATAGAGCCTCCATGTTAAAAGGCAGTGTATCTGGGGGAAGGCAGCAAAGGGAAACTTGCTACCTGTCCCACCAGTCATGGGCCTTCTGATTGGCTGGTCTTGGGATGGGATGCTGGTCTTGACAGACCATGGCTCTGATCCTGCACAGCTGCCAAAGCCCTCCCCACACCCAGCAACTGATGACCGGACAGAAGCCTCCGTTTTCAGAAGCATTGAGCTGCTGTGTCTGGCTGATACTTACGGTCCTCTTCCACCTCTGTGTCCCGCCTTCTTTTTCAACCAATCTTAAGTGACACCTTACTGCTACATCTTGTGGCAGCCAGTTCCACAAGCTATGTCCGTGAAAGTCTTCCGTTTGGGGGTATTTGTGTTTTTCTGTATCTTGATGAAGGATAGAGGACAATGCAGCTTTGACCAAGGGGGTTGTCCAACATTTTCCGTGGGTCTTGTGCACATGAGGGGATGGGGGTGGGAAGGAATGCAGCAGGACTCTTCTCAAACGTTCCCATCCTTCCTTCCCGGTCCACAGAACGATTGAGCTCCCAATGAACTACCGGCTGGCCAAGGCGTTGGTGTACAAGAAAGTCCGGAAGGCACTGGGCTTGGACCGCTGCACGAAGTGTTTCACAGGGGCTGCCCCCATCACAAAGGAAACCTTGGAATACTTCCTGAGCCTCGACATTCCGGTCTATGAGCTCTATGGCATGAGCGAGAGCTCGGGGCCTCACACGCTCTCTCATGCAGCCAACTTCAAGTTGACGAGGTGAGACGCACAAGAGGAAGGGCGTAGGCTGTGATCCCAACCCAGGATAGAAAACCCCAGCACTCCCAAAGTTTCTAGTCCCTGAAGGATCTACAGCCTAAGCCAGGAGTCCCCACTGTGGTTCCCGTGGGTGTCGCAGCGTCTGCCGGCACCTCCGATACCCAACGAGAGTTTGGGGCCAAACAAGGCCTGTATCCAGCAGGGCTTTTGATCGGCCACTGGAGATCCAATTGGCTATGCAGGTTAAAAATCACATTTCAGGGGAAGCCGCTATCAGAACGACAGTTTGATTCTCTCGCACGCTCCTCTTTCCCAGTGTATTTTTTGAAATTACTAATGGCTTGGGCCTTCTTGGGGGTGGGGGGGATGGGGGATGTCTGCAGTGGCCACGTAGTGGCTGGCTCCACCTCTCGTGGTGGCCATTTTGTGGCTGCAGCCACCACCACCCCGTGTCAGAATTCCAAAGGTGCCCACAGGATCCAAAAGGGCAGGGACCAGTGTTCCCTCTAAGCTGAGTTAAGTGTGAGCTAGCTCACAGTTCTTTTAGCCTCCAGCTCACACATTTTTTGTCTCCGCTCAAGGAGGGCTCCGGAGCAAGCTAACTGATGCAGCAGCCAAATCGCTCGCTCACAACCTTAATGCCAGAGGCTCACAAAGTAGAATTTTTGTTCACAAGACTCCACAGCTTAGAGGGAGCATTGGCGGGGACCCCTGGCCTCAAGCATTTGTCGATGCTGTCCAACGCTAGGGCCTGGGTTGAAGTGGGGGAAGCTATCGGGGCACTGCCTCTCCCCTGAACCAGCAGCAGCAGCGATGGGAAAGAATATCAGAAGGACGGTTTTGAAAGAGAATGCAGAACTAGGGATGACGGAATGGGCCTGTTTATATTCGGGCTGCAGAAGGGGGCCACGGTTTGGCTGTCTTGATTGAGAATCCTCCCTAGCCCAAAAGAGGGACTGCACTTGTCAGTGTTTTCTCAGTCGAGCCTGGCCTAAAAGAGAGAGACTTCAGCACCGAACGCTGACTTTAAAACCTCACGGGCTGGAACATTTTATGTGCTAACTTGAAGTTCTCATTGGACACAGCGATTGATCAAGAAACTTGACTCAGTTAGCTTTGGCTTCAGTGGCTGCCTTTGGCCGAGGGGCATGAAATTAATTTGAGAAGTTAAACCGAGGCAGTGATGTGAGTGGCCCCTCTCCTTATTTAAAGTTTTGCATTAAAAGTTTTGCATTTTGTGGGCTTCTGGTCCTGTTGCTTGCAGGCAGGTTCCCCGGACCCTAAAATGTCCCCAGGAATGGCAGAACCCTACACAGTGGGGATCATATCGGGCGGTAAGATCGCTAATCCCTCCCACAGTGTTTACACCACAGTAAAGTTCCACTCGATTCCCTCTCTCCCTCCCCAGTTGCGGCAGAGAAATCACAGGTTGCAAGACAATGATTTACAAACCGGACTGCGACGGCAACGGGGAGATCTGCTTTGCAGGTCGCCACATCTTCATGGGCTACCTGAACATGGAAGACAAGACCAAAGAAGCCATTGATAACGACGGCTGGCTACATTCAGGGGACCTTGGGAAACACGATCCGGATGGCTTCCTTTACATCACGGGGAGGATCAAAGGTGAGCCTCTTCCTACCCTCCCAAGACTTGGGGGGGGGGAGGTCTGTGCGGACAGAGACATGTTTACTTTGGACCACTTTAGAATGTTGAGAGTTTTCCCCAATGGTCAAAGAACTCTCCCTGCAAATGGAAAAGTAGCACAGCAGCAAGAGAGTTCTAGTTCACTCATTCCCTGCAAGCAGACAGGTAGCTCACCAGGCTGGTCTCTTTCATGGAAAAATCGCTTTGAGAACATTGTTCAAGGAACTCACTGTTCCAGTGTGTGTTGCCTGCTAGCTTTCAATGGCCTTCAGTTTATATTATGTTTATTTATCAGATTTATACCCTGCCCTCCCAGCCGAAGCTGGCTCAGGGCGGCTTGCATAAAAGAATAAAAACACACAAATAATTTAGATAATCCTAGATAATCCTAATCCTAGATAATCCTAAAACCATATAACCTATAATCCTAAACCATAAAACCATATAAAACACTCCAACATTAAAAGGTGCTAGACATTAAATAATACTAATAAATTAATATAATAATAATAATTAATATATATATATATATTATATAATATAAATTACTAGGAGGATTACTGTGGAGGAAGACGGGCCCTAGAAAGTTGTGACGCAGGCGCCCTCGTTCCCCCGTTTTCTCCCACCCACCCCCGTCGCGACCCCCTGGATTCAAGGGGTGAGGGAGCGGCCTGTGGCTTCCTGCCTGGGCGCAGTGGGCGGCCTCCAGCAGCCTCCAGTCAGAGCCCGTGCAGCTGCCGGTAGTCAAGCACGGATGACCGCGGTGGCAGCAGCAGGATCGGGCTCAGCCTGAGGCCCCTCTGTGCACTGGAGTGGCCGGCGCATCCGTCATCTGGTCAGAGCCTGGGTGGTCACCTGTAGCCGAGCTTGGGTGAGGATGACTGCGGCGGCGGCAGGATCGGGCTGAGCCCCATCCCTCCCCCTGCTGGAGTGCCCAGCCCATCCGTCGTGCGGTCTCATGCAGCCCAGGTGGCTACCTACGCTCAGGTGAGGATGGTGGCGGCGGCACGACTGAGCTTAGGCCGCTGGAGCGTCTGACCTGTCCATCCACTTCAAGGAGAGTGAGGCCAAGATGCCGGGTGCCGCCTCTGTGGGCGTGACCACGCCAAGGGAGGCAGCAACACATCCAGTGGAGACAGACGCCCTGTGAGTGACACACCAGGGTGCCAACCAATTTGGGAGCGTGTGGAATGTTCTGGAGAGTGCCACTACCAAAAGGCTTTTATGGATAAGGAGAGAAGAGATTAGATGATGGCGGCCAACCTTCAGTGATCTATCCTAACGGTCAGCCCATAGGTCTAACCTTTGTGCAGCTGGCACAGGCTGTTTCTGATTACTTTTTCAGCCCCCCCACACACACCATGGCCCCCCACACTATTTATCCCTCATGCTGTTTCTTCAGATCCCACCCCCCCCGCCCCCCCCCCCCGGAGCATCGTTTTGGGTCTCGCTCCAATAACTGAACCAAACTTCTCGGTTCAGTAACAGGCTGCCTCTGAATTACCAGATGCTAGGGGCAAATATTGTGGGGGGAGGCAGGTTTCACCATTGCACCCTCTTTGGGGGGGGTCATCTGGCTGGCTGTGTTTCCAAGCAGGCATCTGTGGGCCTCTTGGCCTGATCCATCAGGACTCCTCGGATCTGCTGCCTTGAAGTAGTGTGCTCCATCCGCTGCCGGGGATGTGGCCTGTGCAGACCCGGCCTGATCCAGCCCATGAATGGGGGGGTGATATTATGGGTGCTGGGCAGTCGGTGCCATCCAAGTGGGCTGTGGGATAAGCACCAGCTAGTCAGCTATGCAGGCTGGCTGTTTCCCCGCCAAACAGTTTACTGGGCCCCAGACGTACAGAAATGGAAGGGCCATGAGCAGAGGCGGCTTTGCCCCCATGGCCTTTCTCTGCATAGCAGACCTGCTCTTCCTTGGTGGTCTCCCATCCAAGTACTGACCATGGTCAACCCTGCTTCACTTCCAGGCTCTGTTGAGATCAGGCTGGTCTGAGCCAGTTTGGTGTCGTGGTCAGGAGCGCAGACTCTAATCTGGGAGAACCGGGTTTGATTCCCCCACTCCTCCATGTGCAGCTGCGGGTGTGACCTTGGGTCAGTCACAAGTTCTCTCAGAGCTGTTCTCTCAGGAGCAGTCTTCGAAAGAGCTCTTTCAGCCCCACCTACCTCACAGGGTGTCTGTTGTGGGTAGGGGGAGGGGAAGGAGATTTTAAGTCGCTCTGAGACCCCCAAGTGAAGGGCGAGGTATAAATCCAATCTCTTCTTCCTCATTCTCCTCTTCCTCCTCCTCTTCCCCACACTATAGATTTACCTTAATCATGATGACAATATTGGGGTGGGGTGAGGGAAGAGTCCTCAGCCTGCCCTAACCCCCCCCCCCAGCTAGTTCTCAGAGAACCAGTTTGGTGTCGTAGTTAAGTGCGCGGACTCTAATCTGGGAGAACCGGGTTTGATTCCCCACTGTCAAGAGCCCTCTCAGCCCCACCTACCTCACAGGGTGTCTGTGGTGGGGAGGGGGAGGGAAAGGAGTTTGTAAGCCGCTCTAAGACACCTTTGGGTAGTGAAGGGTGGGGTATAAATCCAATCTCTTCTTTTACCTCCCAGGGTGTCTGTTGTGTGAAGGGGAAGGGGAAGGAGTTTGTAATCCACTCTGAGACTCCTTTGGGTAGTGAAGGGTGGAGTATAAATCCAATCTCTTCTTCTTCTTCTTTTACCTCCCAGGGTGTCTGTTGTGGGGAGGGGAAGGGGAAGGAGTTTGTAATCCACTCTGAGACTCCTTTGGGTAGTGAAGGGTGGGGTATAAATCCAATCTCTTCTTCTTCTTCTTTTACCTCCCAGGGTGTCTGTTGTGGGGAGGGGAAGGAGTTTGTAATCCACTCTGAGACTCCTTTGGGGAGTGAAGGGCGGGTTATAAATCCAATCTCCACTTCTCCTTCTCCTTCTTCAGATGCCCTTTGACCTTACAAGTGCGAGTCCCCCCCCCCATTTCAAAAGCCAAGGCTTATTTGCCAGCATGAAGGACCCTTTGGTATCTAAACTGAGGTGGGATCCTGCCTGAGATGTTTGCGGAGGCCATTGAGTTCCGGTTACCACGCGTGTGGTTTCCTGGGAGAGGGATTGTGAGGCTCACGTCTGCGCCTTCTCTTCCAGAGCTCATCATCACCGCAGGAGGCGAGAACATCCCACCGGTCCCGATTGAGGATGCCGTGAAGGAGGCGGTGCCCATTCTGAGCAATGTCATGCTGGTGGGCGACAAGGCCAAGTTCCTCTCCATGCTGCTGACTCTGAAGGTGAGTGTGCCGCCTTTCCCGGCTGCAAACGGGGGTCGGCCGGAGCCTGATGGTCAGTTTGGTGCAGTGGTTGGGAGCGCAGACTCTAATCTGGGAGAGCCGGGTTTGAGTCCCCCACTCCTCCACATGCAGCTGCGGGTGTGACCTTGGGTCAGTCACAAGTTCTCTCAGAGCTGTTCTCTAAAGGGCAGTTCTCGAGAGCGCTCTCTCAGCCCCGCCTACCTCAAGGTGTCTGTTGTGGGGAGGGGAAGGGAGAGGAGTTTGTAAGCTGCTCTGAGACACCTTTGGGTAGTGAAGGGCCATGGGGTATAAATCCAATCTCCTCCTCCCTCCTCCTGCTCCTTCACTGCCTCTCAACATGGAAGTTCCATTTGGTGACACCATCAGGGGCTAATAGACAGGGCTGCCCGTTCCGGGTTGGGAAATATCTGGAGACTAGGGGTGGGGTTGGGGAGGCGAGGGACCTCACTGGGATATAATGCCATCGGTTTCATCCTCCAAAGCCACTGTTTTCTCCAGGGGAACTGTTGGTTCGCAGGGCAGCCGTGATTCAGGGAGATCTCCAGGCCCAACCTGGAGGCTCACAACTCTACTAATAGGGGTGCTAGACCCGGCCCCGGGCAATGTTCCCTCTAAGCTATGGAGTCCTGTGAGCAAAAATTCTACTTTGTGAGCTACTGGCATTAAAGTTGTGAGCAGGCAATTTGGCTACTGCATAAATTCGTTTGCTCTGGAGTCATCCTTCCTGAGCTAAGACAAAAATGTGTGAGCCGGAGGCTAAAAAATTGTGAGCTAGCTCACACTAACTCAGCTTAGAGGGAACACTGGACCTGGGGGGTCATTTCCTGCAGGAGCACACAGGAGCAGAGCTCCGGCAGTAAAGAGCCCAGGGGGCGGGCACATGCAGCAAGCCCCACCCCCTGCTCCCAGCAGCCCCCAGTCAGAGCAAGAAGCAGGCAGGTAAGCTGCAGAGCCCCCCTCCCCCCCGGTCCAAAGCAGTCCAGTGGCACCTTTAAGACCAAATTTTATTCAGGTACAAGCTCTCCCTCCTCTGCGAGGACAGATGTGCACATTACCCCTCCCCAATAGCTAGCAATCCAAAACAGTCCAGTGGAACCTGAGCGGTGGGTGTTGCCTTCTGACACACTTCCGGTGATGTTAGGGTATGTGGCATATGCAAATAAGTTATGCTAATGAGCTCCTGCACCTCTTTTTCTACAAATGACCCCTGGCTAGACCCATCAACAGACCTCAGAGATCGATAGGTCTAATCTCCTCCTTGGTGGTGGTGGAAAGTGCAGTCAAGCCACAGCTGAGTTATGGCGACCCCTGGTGGGGTTTTCAAGGAAAGAGAAGCTCAGAAGTGGTTTGCCATTGCCTGCCTCCACCTCACGACCCTGGTATTCTGTTGCAGTTTCCCATTCAAATACTAGCCAGGGCCAACCCTGCTTAGCTTGTGAGATGTGACGTGTTCAGACTACTTTTTTTTACAGCTATCTTAATGGACCATCAATGCATCACTAGGGAATGAGTTCCACAAGCTGATGTTGGTTTATCAGTCATCAATCTCTACGGCCTAATTTTATCTCTAGGAAACTGCAGCATCCGAGCTGTGACTGTTTAGGGGTAGGGGGACATCCTGTTGACTCTGGACTTAAGTACTGTAATGGCTTTCTAGTACAATCGCTGTGGGGGGCCCAGTTCTGGTTGCCCCATCTGAAAAAGGTGTTCAGTTAGAAAGGCAGCCCATGACCAGGGGGTTGGAGCCAGTGTTCCCTCTAAGCTGAGTTAGTGGGAGCTAGCTCACAGTTTTTGAGCCTCCGGCTCACACATTTTTGTCTTAGCTCAGGAAGGAGGGCTCCTGAGCAAACTAATTGATGCAGTAGCCAAATGGCTGGCTCACAACTTTAATGCCAGTAGCTCACAAAGTAGAATTTTTGCTTACAAGACTCCACAGCTTAGAGGGAACATTGGTTGGAGCACCTTCCCCCTGAGAGAGGGCTGAAGTTTGGGGGATTTTCAGTTGAGAGAGGTTGTGGTGAAACGGGGACCCACCCTCAGCCCTTGGAGATTGAGGTGCAGTCCTGTGGCTCGCAAGCCCTTGTTTTGGCCTCCCACCCTGCCTGGTTGGGCTATTTATCTCCGTTACCGCTGCCACCACTCACTGAATTGACACCGCCTTCCTAGAGGGACAGTGAGACCCCTCCAGCTGATTTCCCCACCTTGGGAAATGGGTACCTCGATCTTTGGGCGCCCCTTGGAGAGTTGGCAACCCCTCCGATTTGGGCCCGTTTGTGTTCCCTGGCCTCCCTTTGCCCCTGGTAACGTGCAGAGCAGGGAGGACTAGGTGGTTAAGGCACACCAGGCTTTTTAAACTCAAAAGGGAAGATTTATTTAACTATATACAGGTTAGGCATGAAAATAAACGCAGGCACTTCAACATCACCTGGGCACAGAAATAAAACAGGGTCGAAACGCAATTCCTCTGCCCCTACACACACACCTCTCTCTACCTCTGCAGTGGGTTGTGGCCTCAGGCCAGGATTCGCTTTCCCCCTCCTCGTTGTTGGAGGGAAACCGCAGCCCTTCCCTGGACTGGTCACCAGTACTGCCACCCTCCTGGGCTCCCCACCACGATTTACAGTGGCCTGGATTGCTTACGGAGTCTGAGGTGACAGGAGCCCCCACCTGTCCACTCCCTTGACGCTCTTGTCCACAATAAGCCAAAGGCTGAAGACCAGGCTGAAGACTAGGTGGAGACTGACTCCCCCCTCAGGAGCCAAAACCTTTATCTCCTTGGCCCCACCCCTGGGGTGTGTCAAACTTTTCCCGCTCACTCTTCCTCAAGGCTGCTGGGAAGTGTAGGCAGGGAGGTAAGGCAGCTCCATTGTTCCCTATGGAGTACTCCCCCCTTACCAGGATGGCATCCATTTTAGGTACTGCTGCCTCTGCCTGGCAGCCATTTCGTCACAGAGGTGACTAGGGAAAGGGGGTATAAGAGAGGATTTTTAATGTGTCTACCCCATCCGTACTTATAACTTCTCCTTTTAAAGTTTATTTATTTAAAATATCATTATGCCCAGGGGTCATTTCCTAGAAAAAGAGGTGCAGGAGCTCATTTGCATATGCCACACCCCCTGACAAAGGGCAGGCATGTTTAACATGAGTTAAGGCATATGCAAATGCATATGCAAATCCCCCCCCCCCCCCGCCTCTCTCAAAAAGCGGAGAGGCCAAAAGCGGAGAGGCTCAGGGGGAAAGGCGGGCATGTCTGCCTCCCTGTCCTTCCTATCTCCAGGCAGCCCGCCACGGGAAGGGCAGGGAACCCAGGCATTTAAATCCCCCCCTCCCTAGGTCTCTCCGCAGGCGGGGCCTGTGCTCCTTACTGCCGGAGCACTGCTCCAGGGCGCTCTGGCAGGAAATGACCCCTGGTTATGCCGCCTTTCCACCCAAATAGGGTCCCCATGGTGGCGAACATGGCAACATTTGAACATGGCAACAGCATTTAAAATAATATATAGGATAATTCATTAGAAAACACACCAGAACACCAACATCAGGGAGGAGGGCCAATAATTGTTATTGGGGGGGGGGGGTTATGCCAAATGAAACTGAAACGACACCTCCTGGCAGAAGACAACAATAGAGAGAGAATCTCCTGGGGGGAGGAGGTCCAAAGTTGTGTCCCCGTGACTAAGAAGGCCCTTCCTTGGGTTGCCGCCTGGCTAGCCTCATAGGAAATGCACCAAACAAGCTGACACTGTGAAGTAAGTGACTAGGACATTTAGTAAATCTTTTCAAGGTAAACATCATAGAATCATAGAATGTTAGAGTCGGAAGGGACCTTGCAAGTCATCTAGTCCAACCCCGCGCACTCTGCAGGAGCAGAGCCGAAAGAGAGCCCTACAGCACACCCAAAAGAGGGTCGTCCAGCGGAGGAGCACCCACCCCCTCCCGAGGCAGTCTGTCCCACGGCTCAACCACTCTCACAGTTAGGCGAGGGGCCTGTCTGCATCAGCATGCTGGGCCATCAAAAAATAAATGCATGTGTCTATTTTGCCATCAAGTCCAACGATAGATTTCAAGGCAGGACACAGACAGAGGCGGCCTGCCCATCGCCTGCCTTTGCGGTTGTGGCGCAACCCTCGACTTCCTTGGAGGCCTCCCACCCAAGGACTGACCAGGGCCGACCCCCCTGCTTAGCCTCCGAGATCTGTCACGATTGGGCAGACCTGCCCCCCCCCCCGGGGGTCAAGGCGAGAGATGAGGAGAGGCGGCTGTGCCTCTGCGTAGGGACCCTGGGCTTCCTTGCTGGTCTCCCCTCCCGGGATGGACCCCGCTTGGCTTCCGAGACCCGAGGTGGCTGGGCGAGCCGGGGGCCCCCAGGGCAAGAGGCCCTGACCATACCAGACCTCATATTATACTATAAATGAAACTTCACAATATTACAAGAAAAAGTCCATCATTCTCAGTTAGCACCTGGATATAACTTCATTTTATCCCTATCTTCCTCAGGAGTAATCCTACTATGTTGACAGGTGTCAGCGTCTTGATACAGCTCAATATTTTGTTAAGAACAAACCAGTGATTAACTTCTTCTTTACTTTCTTCAGATTATCTTCTGGTTCCATTTCAAGTGTTTGAATTAGGAGCAAGCCAGTCTTGTCTTCTGTAATGAGGTGCAAAGGCCTTCTATATTCTGCTGGCTAAAATGCTCTCCATGAGCACTGTATTTATAGTTATTTTATAGTAGTAGCAAACTTTTCTACCTGGCTAGAAGCCTTTATTTTTTAAATTGGCTGGCAAATGCTCTCCTGTCTAGCCTTGGCTAGTGGGAGCACCAGAAGCTGGGCCAGCAAAGATGATCGGAGTGGATGTGTAGGTTCTCGGAAGAGGGTCCTTCAGGGGTGTTGGCCTCAAGCCATATATAGCTTTATATCTATATATGTGTGTGTGTGTGTAATATTTACGAATCGCCCAATCTCTGCCGGGGCTCTGGGTGAGGTACAAAAGCCACAAAACAAAAACAAGATAAAATCAGTTAGAACATTAATAAAACATTTCAACAATCAGATGGTGAATAACCAATCCCAGTTCCAACTGTCGGCTACTTCGCAGACCGGGGTGGGGGTGGGGAGGCAAGGTAGATATAAATAGCAGAGAACAGAGGAGGGTGCCCGCCAAGATGGAACCATTGCTGTCCTCAGCCAAAATTCTGGCGGAACATCTCTGCCTTGCAGGCCCTGCAAAAATATATCTATCATGTATCATCCTCCTACCTATCATCTATCATCCTCCTGCCTATCATCTATCATCGTCCCGCCTATCATCTATCATCCTCCTGCCTATCATCTATCATCCTCCCATATGTTATCCTACCTATCACCTATCACCCTTCTATAATCCTCCCACCTATCACCTATCATCCTCCTGCCTATCATCCTCCTATCTACCATCCTCCTCCTACCTATCACCTATCGTCCTTCTATCTATCATCCTCTTACCTATCATCTATCATCCTCCTACCTATAACCTATCGTCCTTCTATCTATCATCCTCTTACCTATCATCTATCATTCTCCTACCTACCACCTATTGTTCTTCTATCTATCATCCTCTTACCTATCACCTATCGTCCTTCTATCTATCATCCTCCAACCTATCACCTATTTATTTATTTATTTTTTATATTTATATCCCGCCATCCCCAATGGGCTCAGGGCGGTTCACAGAGGCAAGGTAAAACCGAGCCATAATTAAAACATATGATACGTAATAAAAACATCCAACATTAAAACACCTATCGTCCTTCTATCTATCATCCTCCTACCTATCACCTATTGTCCTATCTATCATTCTCTTACCTATCATCTATCATCCTCCTACCTATAACCTATCGTCCTTCTATCTATCATCCTCTTACCTATCATCATCCTTCTATCATCCTCCTACCTATCACCTATCCTTCTATCTATCATCGTACTACCTATCACCTATCATCCTTCTATCTATCATCCTCCTACTAGAGATGTAAAATTTCTGGAAATTTTGAAGTAAAAATTTCCGGAAATTTTGAAGCTCGGGAAAAAAACCCAGGTTTTTTCGGGGGGGAAATGCAAATTTTCAAAAAAATTGAAAAAAATGCTACATTAGCACTTCTTGTTTCTTTTCCAGATTGAAAATCATTCTGTTACTTCAGGAACATAAAATATGGCTATGGACAATTTTACTTGGCATGAAATTATCACAACTAGCATATTAAAAATATGGTGTATCCAAACAATTATTACAAACAGAACCAGATTAGTAGTAACTAAATTATTATTTACACAAAGGTTATAAAGATAAACTAATGTAGCTAAATGATTCAGTTTTCTGGAATCAGATAAATGAAAACTCTTTAGCTTTTTAAATTTAAGTCTATACTCTCAGGTTCTTTTTGTTGCTCTGTATTTTCTTCCAGTGCTTTGAGGCCTTGTGAAGCCACCCACATGCAAAAACAAAACTGAACCCTTTTTCTTTTCTTGTGACAATAGCACCTCCTAAAGGAAGAAATGCATCTTGTTCTTGCATTGGAGAGTTCAGTTTGTAACCTAGGACTTGCTTGTCCTCAGTGCACAGAAATTAGATCAATCTGATACCATACATATTTTTTAGAAATTATCTGGAAGATATTTGAACACCTTGTTCTTAAAATATTCTATTTATCATGTTAAAATAAAATGTTCCATAATCATTTTTTGTCTTTTCTTTTTTCAGTTTTTCGGAAAAAAACAAAAAAGGCTTCAGGGGGAAAAATGGAAAAAACCCGTTTTTCCCCGAATTTTTCCAGTTTTCCCCCGGACCTTCACATCTCTACCTCCTTCCTATCATCCTTCTACCCAGTGGTAATTTCGTAGAAAAAGAGGTGCAGGAGCTCATTAGCATAGCTCATTAGCATAACTTATTTGCATATACCACACCCCCTGCCATCACTGGAAGTGTGTCAGAAGGCAACACCCACCACTCAGGCTCCACTGGACTGTTTTGGATTGTTAGCTATTGGGGAGGGGGGAACATGCAGATCTGTTCTCACAGAGGAGGGAGAGCTTTTACCTGAATAAAACTTGGTCTTCAAGGTGCCACTGGACTGTTTTGGACCGGGAAGCTGGGGGGTGGGTGGGCTCTGCAACTTACCTGGCTGCTTCTTGCTCTGACAGAGCTGCTGGGAGCAGGGGGCGGGGCTTGTTGCATGTGCCCGCCCCCTGAGCTCTGCTCCTGTGCGCTCCTGCAGGAAATGACTCCTGCTCCTACCTATCATCTATATTCAGCTCTAATACCTTGAACTGAGCATGGAAGCAAACTGGGAGGCAGTGTAGATAGAATAAGACTGGGGTGATATGGCACCTACACCCGACTCCAGTCAACATTTTGGCTGGAGTATTCTTTCCACGTAATACTAGAACTAGATGCAAACACACACACACACCCCCCAAAAATAATTTTTTTTTGCTGGGCAGATTTAAGAATAAACTTCATACAATGCACCACTAACTTGTGGAACTCGCTGCACGAGATACCTTGATGGCCGCTTGCTTAGAGGCAGGGGTCCTTTCCTGCGGGAGCGCACAGGAGCGGAGCTCCGGCAGTAAAGAGCCCAGGGGGCAGGCACATGCAACAAGCCCCACCCCCTGCTCCCAGCAGCCCTAGGCCACAAGGAGCAAGAAGCAGCCAGGTAAGTTGCAGACCCCCCCCCCCCATAGCAATCCAAAACAGTCCAGGGGCACCTTTAAGGCCAAGGTTTATTCAGGTACAAGCTCTCCCTCCTCTGCGAGGACAGATCTGCATGTTCCCACCCCACCCCGATAGCTAGCAATCCAAAACAGTACAGTGGAGCCTGAGTGGTGGGTGTTGCCTTCTTACACACTTCCGGTGATGTCAGGGGGTGTGGCATATGCAAATAAGTTATGCTAATGAGCTCCTGCACCTCTTTTTCTACGAAATGACCCCTGCTTAGAGGGCTATAAAAATAATGAGTCCAGCTCACTGGATGGTTTTTGCTGAGCTTCCTGGGAGACACCTAGCTATCGCTGCAGGAAAGGGACACAGATGGACCTTGGCTTAAATCCAGTGGGGAGAATATGTAATAGACGTTTTTGACAAAATAATAGAATCTCCATGTTCAAAGATGGTCCACCACCGGTTAGGGTAGTCAGGATATTCCCTGTCTGGTAGGATTTTTTTAGAAACATCCTGACTGGCCAGGCCTGGCTCTGTGAAGCCCACAGGCAGGGTACGAAAAAGAGCCCTCCTTCGTATGCCTACAGCATCTGACATCCAGAAGTAAACTACTTCTGAACTAGGGTGGCCAGTTCTGTTGGAAACGCCGGCGGAGGTGTGAGGGGTTCATTCCAACAGTTGGAAGCGTTGTCGTGCGACGTACCTATGACACCTGGAAGTGATATAGGCACATTGGGGGTGACGCTCTGGTTTTTGGGCAAAACTCTATGGTCCCAAAACCAGAGCATGGCCCCCCGACGTCAACAACATGCCTACGTCACTTCCAGTTTATTTCTGGATATGTCAATGTTGGGAGGGGGGTCTCCTCCCCCCACCCAGCTGGCTAGCGGCAAGCAGGAGCCTAAAAAAATGGGGAATCCCCCGCCCCCAACTGGGGAGTGGCAACCTTATTCTGAGCATGGCAGTTCAATACTTCTGCTTGGTTTGGGGCCCATGCTGGCTGCAGAGGCCAACCCGGTCAGGTGCCACAAAAACAGGATATTAGCAAAGCAGCTGGGCTGTCGGCTTACTGGCTTTTTATACTTTCGGCTTGCAGTGCAACGTGAACGCGGAGACGGGGGACCCAGAGGACGACCTGACACCCGAAACCATCGAATTCTGCCGCAAACTGGGCAGCAAAGCTTCCAAAGTCTCGCAGATCGTCACGACCAAAGACCCGGCTGTGCACAGCGCCATCCAGAAGGGGATCACAGCAGTCAACAACAGAGCCGTCTCCAACGCCCAGAAGATCCAGAAGTGGGTGATCCTCGACAAAGACTTCTCCATCAATGGCGGGGAGTTGGGTGAGTAGCTCCAGGGAGAGTTGTCTTCCTGCGAGAAGCCGCTGAACTTCAGGGAGACGCAGAAGGGCTGCGGAAGCAGAGAGCCTGTGTGTGGCAGAGCTCGAGCCGTTGCCTGCTGTGTAATCTCTTGGTTATCAGCTGGAGTACAGGGTTGGGTGGTCTGGCCCTGCAGAAGGCAACTTCGCGCTATTTTATTTTCTCGTTTTGGCGTTTCCGGGGCTCTAGGGTGAACTCCCTGCTCTGCATGTGGAAGGTCCTGGGTTCGATTCCTAGTTTTAATGAACAAACCCTCTGGTACTGGAGCTTAGAAAAGCACTACCTTTTTGTCCTAGGCCATGTCATGGCTCAGATGGGGTGTCAACTGACGCTGCCACCACTCTGGTTCCAGGCTCCTCTGAGAAGGCCCAGAACACCCTCCCTTTTAGCCTAAATGAGCATGAGGACCAGGCAGAGTGAACAATGAAAATGGCTTATTTTATAAGAAGTCAAAAAACCAAGGTGCAGGAATAGCAACAGTAAGTGGGTGAAAAGAAAACAAATCAAATGCCCTAACGCATCTAAATATATACTGTCCCTAACTCACTATTCCAAGTGACACTAGACTACTCACCCTTCCTTCTGGCTCTGCCCTCTGGGAATAAGAACAACTCTTCCTCTGTACCAGCTCTTTCAGTCCCCTTTCTCTGTGATTGGCTAATCTAATTTTGGCTCCAAAACCTCTCAAGGGCTTCTGGGAGTTGTAAGCCTGGCCTCCTCCCACTGCTACACAGGTTCCCTGGGCCTGCTAGGCCCTACTGGCACAGCCCAGATCATGACAGGCCAATTCAAGGTGTACTGCCTGGGACCTGCACACTTTAAGAACCACTTGTTCCCATGTGAACCTACCTGACCCCTAAGGTCATCTTTTTAAGACCCCTGTTTTGGCTGTCCCCGCCTTCTGAGGCTAGATAGGTGGCAACCCAAGAAAGGGCCTTCTTGGTCACGGCACCAACAATATTTTTTGCAGCATTCCCTCCTGGGGTTGCCAACCTCCAGGTGGTGGCTGGAGGTCTGCTTTTACAACTGATCTCCAGGTGACAGAGATGAGTTCACCTGGAGAAAATGGCTGCTGTGGAAAGTGGACTCCGTGGCATTATACCCCATTGAAATTCCTCCCCTCTGCAAACCCTAACCCTCCTCAGGTTCCAACTCCAAAATCTCTAGGTATTTACCAATCTGGAGCTGGCAACCCTGTTCCCTCCACAGGGGAATTTGTCTCTCTCCCTGATCAGTCTTCTGCCAAGAAGTTCAGACTTTTCACCTGGAATACCCTTGTCAGAACCCACAGCCAACCACGTAGTACACGCTTATCAGGAAAGGTAATACTTTATTGAAGAGCTACAGATGCATTAACATAGGCACTGTTAAGAATGGCGGCTGCCCCTGGGGCATAATAAGATATAGGGTATTCGTATGCACCCCCCCACTGCCCTGGCCAATTAACCACCCTCCCACGTGCGGGAAAAAGGGCTCCGGCCGTTTAGCGCTGAAGCTGGGAACCAAACTCTATCCCACGGCCTCCGAGAAACCCAGACATCAACATCACTACCTGCAGAACTTATAGATAAGCGTTACAGCAGCAAAGAAGCACAGAAGGAATGCACTGGCCATTAGAATACAACGAAACTCCCCACCCCCATGGCAGCATAGCTGACAACCCTCACTGACCCTCCTCCTTGTTGGCTTTTTATGCATCTAGATCAGGGGTCCCCAACCTGTCCGAGCCTGTGGACACCTTTGGAATTATGACGGCTCCGTGGTAGCCATGGGAGATGTAGCCAGCCACAAAATGGCTACCACGGATTACCTTTAGTCACACAGTGAAAATCCTTGGGCAGTGGTAGCCCTTCTTAAGGCATTTTATGTTTTTAACTAAAATAAAAATATTAGACTTTTTGAGCCTTTGGGTACCTTTGGAATGCTGAGAGGGGGGTTGGGAGTAACGCTCCAAAATGGCTATCACACTTTGCACATGAATTGCAGATAGGAAATAAAGGGGAAAAAATAAAAGCATGAGGGAGGAAGGGGAAAGGGGGGGGGACCCTGCAGGGGTATGGAACCATGACCGTGGGTGCTCATTAGTATTCCTGACCCTCCAGTGTCAATGGCTACTACCGCATTCGTGAAAAATCCTTTCATTCCAAAGAGGGCCACAAATAACACGCCTGGCCTTACAGAGGCCCTGCCCACTTTCTGAAAAGCCTGGTGGGTACCAGGGGAAGTATTGGCAGGTGGCATGGCACACATAGAGCCCATGTTGGGGAATCCTGGGCTATTTGTTTGACTTGGAATCCAGCTGCTTCAAATGTGGGCCAAGGCTCCATTGCTTGGCATGCTGAATATCCCCAGCTGAATTCCTGGTGTTACCAGGAGTTGGCGGCAGTTCCAACATACTGAACTGGGTGTAGAAACGGACCATCACAGGGAGTCAAACCTACCCCAGAAAAGTCCTGTGAGATTCCTCAGTATAACATTTTGCTTCTGTGGCCGCTTATATGCAACCCACATAGTGGCACCTCTCTGCAGTGTTCTGAGATGTTGTGTTATTACTGTCTGTGGCATAATTTTCCTGCTTTGGCCTGCAGGCCCTATTCTGCCCTGCCCTCTTAGGGGTTTCCCAACCCTTAGAGGGGCTTTTTCTTTCTCTCTAAGGTAGCCCACCGCCACCACCTGACCTTTTGCAGGAATTACCCACTTGGAGGGTCAGGACTCCCAGCTTCCCTTCCACATTCTGAGGCCTTGCGTCTGTGTCTCCTGCTGCCCAGCATCTGGTCACCATGGGGACAGTTTACTGCCATGTGCACCCCTGGAGGAATAGCTGCTTGCCAACTTTCCTGCCTTCCCCCAGCGCTCTTTTTTAAAATAGCATGTCCAAGACAGTGGAGGTTGATGTGGTACAGAGAACCACTGCAGTCCTCAAAAGTTATAAAGGAATTATTAAAAATAAAATGTTTACAAGCATATTTTTAGCACAGCACCAGATTGAACAAGGGATACTAAAGAAATAGGTAAAATGTAAATCCTCTGTCCCTCTCTCTATACACGCCCTATCAGATGTTAAAATATAGAACAGGCTCTTTATCTTAGGAGTTCTAGATCTCTACAGAGGTTTCCCTTACCTTGAAACTTACTCTAGCTCTTTAGGCGAGCATGTGGTCAATGGCTGCCTCCTCAGTTGAGAGTCCTCTCTGCTCTCATGGCCTCAGCCCCAAAGCAAAGAGACTTCCTTCCTGCTGCAAGGAGTTTTTGTCACTTCTCCTTTCCCCTTCCCCTGACCCAGTCATGCCAGGTCAAGGAAGCTCTTCCTGACGTCGCCAGAAATTGTCTTCCTAAAGCCTCCTCCAAATCTGTTCCCTGCTTGAAGAAGGGGGGAGAACTTGACCTGCTCATTATCTCTCCTGCTAGACTAGAGCCAGTAGCATTTGTATGAAGCTATGCTGGAGAGCAGCTGGACTGCCTTCCCCCCTTCCAGCCTGTTCTCTGCCCAGAGGGGGGGGGGAACTTTTAACACGCAAAGTGGAGGTTTTGCTCATTTCACACTCCCAGGGGAAAATGCATTTCTTCAAACTGCCTCCTTTCCTTCCTTAATGTTTCCTATTATTTTCACTGCCACCAAAGAACAGGATGGCTTACATATATTTGGTAGAATAACAGAACAGTCAGTGCATGGGGGTTCCTCTGAGGTAAAAGGGGACCCTTTACTCTAAATTAAACAGCTGTTTTCTCTTAAACATAGAGTTTATTTAGAAGTATAACAGCATAACTAATTCAGTAAAATTCATAAGTGTAATGGTTTCAGATAGGTACAGTTCTTCTTTCTCTAAAGCTCCTTAAATAGACCTAGCCACGCAGGCTTATTTTTACCACTTGCCCCTTAGGCTAATAACTTCCGCAAAAGCTTAATTTCCTCACTTGCCACTTAGGCTAACAACTTCCACAAAGAAGACAGATTTTCTCTCGTATTCCATATAATCTCAACTCAACTCTGTTCTCCTCTTCACCCCCACACAAACCCTCTCTGCACAAATCCAGATAAATCCACCCCCTCAGGTACAGCTACCATCCAGTCATAACACACACCCTATTTCTTACTCTAGAGGCCTGCCTTTTTAAGCCACAGCAACATACATATAGAATTCCACATTAAAACACAGAAATAAAACACATACAGTATTTACATAGCAAAACATCACACTCAGTGTTCCAGGATCTCATTTCTTTTTCTTTCTCTCCTTTCAATAGGTCCCACAATGAAGCTGAAGAGACCAGTGGTGGTCAAAATGTACAAACAGCAAATAGACCAGTTATACGCTGTGGAAACACCGGATGCTAAATAATCACCAAACAAGCACATAACCTCCGGCCTGCCTCTATTAGAAGTCTAGTCTTTCTCTTCCCTCCCTCGCTGCTGTCCTTTGGTGAACGTGACCCTGTATTTTGGCATGGACTCGTCTCCCGCTTTTTGGTGTGGAAAGAGAAACGGACTCTTTCCTCAGTGTGTTACAAAAAACGAGGTTTCAATAAAGGCAGCTCTCTGACCCAAGGCCGCTCCAGAAGTCTCTGGTTACAAAACATTAGGGCTGTCCGTAGCCATTCATGTTTGTCCCTGAACTTGTTTGGATGATCCATCGGGAGGACTCCGAGGCTACCTGTCTTGGCAACAGCTTTCTTCTAGCTGCTACGCGGTAACCCACTTTTGAGTCCCTTCCTCCAAAGACCGTGGCCCTCCACTCTTTAAATGAATGTACAGAGAACTCCGTTCTCTGCTTACGATTACTTGAGCATCACTTCTCTGTTCCTCTATGTGTGTGTTTGAAAACATTGTGGGGGTTCTTGGAAAAGGGGACATGGCGATTAAGCGTGTTCAGATAATTCCGGCTGATGTGCCCGGACAAGGAATTGACTAGCTTTATACTGTGTGTGCAATACTATATTCTTGGCTTGGCTTGGTTCAGACACTTAAAAGCCATAAAATGATGGTGGTTACAGCATGTCAAAGGACGTTTTGGATAGAAGGAAATCTGGTACATGAGCCCCCCCCCCTCCAAGGGCTTGTGGTTGGGATACAGGCGTCTGGCTTAAAGAAATAATCTTTGTGTGGCCCTTACGTTCACCTCAAAGAGGGGTATAAGTATATGTTTGCAAAATATGTTTGCAGGGGGTGAATTAATTCCTCTTTAAGGAAATGCACTTTTAGGGTCAAATTTTACATTGGCGTCTCTCTGGGGATATCGAGCACAGGGGACCAGGCTGGGACGTGGCTAGGCTAATACTGATCCTGACATGAGCAGGACAATGTAAGCAGATTGTAGGAACTGGGCACTGATGGAAGCAAAAACTCACTGTCCATTGAGAATTTGCACAGGCCTGGTGTGTTACTGAAGCGGGTTTGGGAAGCCAACGAGCACGCAGGGCCCCCCCCCCAGAAATCTAATCTCAGGTTGGGGTACTTTAAAAGCTGGCTGAAGGCCAGGTGTCCTCATCGGGGACCCCACCGGACACGCTCACTGCAAGGGAAGGCTCAGTTTGGTCTGTGTCCTCAACGGAAAAGAATCGCACTGAATCATGCACTTTTTGACGCCGTGAATGGCCTGGCAGCTCAAGAGGTTGGCTGGGTTTTGTGTAGGATTGTGTCCCCCCCCCCCCCCCTTTTCCCT